CCTATCTGTCATGACCCCCACATGCTCCATTCTTGCCTTTTCCCGCAAAATCTCCCATTCTAAGGTACCTTCCTGTCTGTCTCTTTCTACTGTGCTTCTCCACAACCTTTAAAAATCCTTGGCTAGGCTTTTGATTTTTTTGTTTCTCTTCATCTGTCTCCTTTTCCCCATTGTAAAAATATCCCAAACAAACCCCAAATCAAGCAAACTCAATCTTTGAAAGGTGACATACTGGTTCACATGACACACTGATGCTGTACACAGTATTTATTTGCTCCACTGCAGTTCACAGTTCAAATACATTTTCCCAACAATATACAGACAGACTCTTTATTCACAGTGGGGGTGTGTGTTTGTCTGGGCATAGAGAATTCACATTATGGGGGAGCTAATGTCACCGCACTTGAATATCAGTTCTCCCAGAAAGAACCTCAGGAGAGTAACTACTTCAGGAAACAGCCGCTTCACCTTTCCCAGCAAGGTGGTGGCTAGAAAGGAGGGAAGGGGCCCTCCTGTTTAATCCTAATTTGCTACATTTCCTCACATTTCCAGTTCCTATTATGCAGCTGTATTTACTGACTATATATTATTAACCCCTGTCTGGAGGAAAATGCCAGGCCTACAGCCAGTGCTACAGTTGTGCTAATATATACAAAGCTATTTACAGGAAAATACTATTAAACATATACAAACTGTTCACAGGCTCTGACAGTAAGAGAGCAGGGCCCAAGGACCAGCCTTGGGGCTTGCAGCTAATCCTGAAGGGCTATCCTGGAAGCTTTATATGGAGATGTAAGGACAGAGAAAAAAAGAGGGTGATATAGCAAAGAGAGGTGTCAAGAGCCCATGAGAGCAAATCCATAGCAGATCTGCCCATCTGGAGGGAGGTTCAAAGTCCTACCATCACCTCACCACTCAGGGGGAAGTGTAGGCAGGCTGAAAGGACATGTGCCATCCCCAGGAGGACAGAAGAGTCCTTTGCAATCCTCATCTCAGCTTGGTTCTGCTGAATATCAAAGGTCAGACCTAGAAAAACACTGGGAAAACAGCTCCTGTATTGTTGCCCTGCACTGTGGGAAGCTGCTGGAGCATCAAAGTGGTTCCTTCTTATATGGTCATTTCTATCACAAGAAAATTCATGTAGATGCCCTGCAGTGACCACACAGGAGACTGATGGCACATTCAAAGGCACAGCTGAAAACACTAAATGTTCTATGAGCAAATGTGCCCTGGGGTAGTCCATTCCTTCTGGAGCTGCAAATAGGGCTGGGCTGGCAAGAGAATTGTAAAGTTGAGCCCAGAGCAGAGGTCAAATGCACAGAAAAGCTTTCTGGTTCTGCCTGTCTGAGCCTCTAAACTCTGAAGCAGTGGTGTGAGAATCAGCTTTGCTGTGACTGGATCTAGTGCAAAGTTTAAAATGCCAGTGGGGATCTGCTGGGAATGTGTCACTAAAGGGCTGCGATGCATTTGCGACGGGAGACTCAGCCCATTGGACTTAAGTATGATGTTACAGTGACACTTTGGATGAATGAAAAGCTTAGGGATGGACAGAAATAAGATGTGATCCTTTTCCTTGTGTATCACCCACATGAACCTGTCCTGAACCTGGGTTTGGGGAAAAAATATACAAGGGCTGGCAAATGCTGTGGAGACCATCTTTCTCTAGATCAGGTAACTTAGTCAGAGAGCTAGTTTATCTGTGAGTTTGGGGGCAGAATGGAGAAGAGGGCTAAGAGAACAAGAATGGTTGCAGACAAGACTAGCCCTGCAGGAGACAGCCAGAGGCTTCTCTCCAAATATATAAAAATTAAAGCAGATGGCATCCTTTAGCCATACCATTGCTTGAGTTATCATGGCCCACTCAAGGCCTAGAGCTTGTTTGACTGCCTGGGAATACTGCTTGGACATAAAATCTCATTCATAAATTAAACATACAAAAAATATACATATACTGTATAAATTGATACATATATATATAAAACCTGGTCATATATATATATGTATATAAATCCTAAATTCACATTTCTGTGTTACCTGGAAGGAAGCATGCAAGAACAGCATATGGAGGAGGAGACTCTCAACAAGGTTCCTCTGGTAGAGCACAGGTCTGCCTAGGAAAAACCTGCCTCCAGCAGCATTCATTCCCCAGAGGGCTGAAGAAAGGGCAAGTGCTTTTAGCCCCCATTCCCTCTACACAGCAGTTTTCCTGAAGATCCACAGAGCAGATTCCTGTATTCCACATACAGGCTGCAGGTCCAACCAAAATCTCAGGCACCACCAGGCTAGAGCTGGAGAAGAAAAGGCAAACAGAAACTAAAGCCAAAACTTATTATAATTCAGTCTGGTAGAGAAAAGTGGTAATTCACAGGACAGCAACTGAACCTGGCCACCACTACATGGAGGACTCTCCCTCTGTGAGTCTGTCCATCCCTTATGATCATCATCCCTGTTCTTTCTAAGATGCCCTTCTTTGTCCAACTCCCAAAGTACAAGTGGGCTTCACAATCCATCCAGCTTATGCCCAAAGGAGCAGCCAGTAATGCTGCAATCTCTCTGCATCCCAAGGAGCACCTAACTGTGTCTATTACAAACAGATCAGGTATTTTCAAAGGCCTGGGTTTCATTAGGGATTCCTGCGCAATCTCACCTTTTGAGGAAAGTCAACAAATTTCAGCCGGGCAAGAAATCGCCTTACTTCTCCACGGCTGATTTTGGGAGTGGTGGTGTCCTTCAGCCACACCATTCGACCTTGACTCATCATGGCCCACTTCAGGCTCAGCTTGCTGACCGAGAGAAATCCTGGCTGCTTTTCAGAGGTTGCAGTTGTTGTCACAGTGATGTGAAATGCATCCTTCTGGAGATCATTAATTCCAACTGGTCCATAAGAAAAGGGACAGAAAAGATTGGTGAGAAGTAAATGATGACATCTCTTCCAAAGGAAATCTTAACAGTCTGCTTAGTCAAAACATCCACCAGTCTGAGGGTATATTTAGTCTGACTTTAAAATTGCAATATTTAAGTTTACATATTTTTTTTTCCATGGAAATCGACTGAAATTTAGATTGGAAATTGAAGGGTTTGGTTCCAGGTGTTGTTTTTGAACTTACCATAGGAGATGCATATATTTCAATAATGCGGTTCACTTTCAGAGAGCTTTCCTTCCCACACCTGTTAGCAGGTATTGTTTTACCTCTATAGAAGGGGAAACTGGTAAAGCATGGGCAAGTCAGTTCACTCCAGTCACAGCATAATGCTCTGTACACACTGCAGAAAACCCAGTTTCTAAAAAAACTCTCTAAAAATGAAACTCCATTCATTCTTGACCAAGCTGCATTTTTGATACACATCCAGTTAGATCAATCACTATGTAGCAGCTTTTATATGCTTCCCAGCCTACTGCTCTCAGTTCTAGATGAACTGATCTTTTGTCCCACATCCTGCCATGCTCAACAGGCTGGCTGTTAGTTGAACTACTTCAGAAAGAACACAGAAATCCAACAGGGACTGTACAATCTTGTATAGAGACCCACTTTTCCCTGAAAACTCACATTTAAATATTTTTTATTCCTCCTTTCAAAAAGAAAAAGGAAGAAGCAGCACAGCTGCTATCCTGGACAGCAGGAGATGGCCAACAAAGGTAAAAGTGTATCTGGGATGACAGAGAAAAGTTTCAGTGATTCTTCATGCACTGCCTTGAATCATAAGTAACTTCATGGAACGCCAGGGAACTTCTCTGGTGTAGAACATGTATGAAATCAAACTTGGACTTTTCCTTACTTAAACACGTGCAAGAAACTTAGTGGGTCTTTTATTTGCAAAGTAGGGGTTTGACATGACCTTCCTTCAGATAAATATTTGCCACTGCTGGCCTATGTGTGGTGGACTTCAGGTTCCACCTTTAAAAGCACAACTACATCCCATTGTTTCTCACAGCTACCTCTTCCTCCATTTTTCTATTAGCCTAGGTAGTTCCTCCTCCATTTGTACTCACCTGCTGAAGCAATGACTTTGTCTGTTGCATTGGTGAGGTCCAAAAGGACTGTAGGAAAAACTGGATGGAGGAGATAGAGATGGTGCAGCACAGGGCGCTCAGGTCTGGGACCAGGTTGCTGTTGGGATGAAGGACAAACAAAATGTTACAGCTGAGTAGAAAAGAGGGCTCTAGCTGTGCCCAAGAGATAAAGAGGTTTTCTGACACTGCGTGGTCTTTATGAGAATCAGAAAATCAAAAACTCTATGGTTTTACAGAGATTAAATCCTGCAGTTTGTTTTTTTTCCCAACAGAATTTTCTCCACACCTTCTGTGTGCTAAGTCTGAGATCTGGCTCTGTCAAAGACAGCTTGATGGGCAAAGCTACAGTTTGGAAGTTTATGTCTCCATGCTTACTTGGGTGCCTGCATGCAGAGAAGAAGTTCTCTGCAGCTGGGAACAAATTTGCAGTAAAAATATCTCACGTGTTGCAAAAAAAAAAAAAAAAGAAGGAATTTGTGCAAAACATCTTAGTTTTGTGGATGTGAGCTTTCTGTCTATAAAGACAGGCACTTGGTGAAGAATTTGCACACAAAAACTCCTGTGTTCTGGCTCAGAGAAGTCCGAGTGTCAAAGCAAGAGGAAAGACAGATTGTATGTGCCTCACAGAGAAACCTCAAAGTGAAGAAAGGTGTTTGCTTACCAAACTTTGTAACACAGGCTGTGCTTCATTTGCCCAGAAGAGAAAAACGGACTTCTTCTCCAAAGTCATGACCGATAGTGCATCCAGTTGTTGCTTCTGCCATGGGAGCTCCTGGTTCCAAACAGGGAGGCCAGATTTGCCATCTACCACTACCACCTCAAAGTCAGGAGAGAGATACAGCATTAAGGGATGCTCAGGTGGGGGGGCGTACAGAGAGCCCCACTGAAGTGGCATGGCCTGTGCTGTTTGTTCCCTTTAATGCCTGTGGCTGCACAGTGTCAGCCACAGAAACGGGAAGAGTGAGGAGCTGGGCATGATTGTCCCTTTATACCCAAACTCCCTCACTCATATGCTGCCACTGCCCTCATTGCCTTCACCTGTTTTACCTTTTTGTTCCCATCTCCAGTCTGTGCTTGCAACATGAAGTCCAGAGTTTGGTCAGCACTGAAGTAACCAGGTACAGGCTGGCTGTAAATTTGGAAAAAGAAACACTCAGCCCCACGGCAGACAAACAGGGATTTCTGATGAAGGCAGCACAGTTGCTTCAGTCCTTGATTCTGCCTCTTAAAAATGTAGGATTTGCCATGCTAAGATCAGAACTGCTCTGACTGTCAGGAACCATTTATTGGTGGATCAGAAAAGTGAAAAACTATCAAGCAGCCCATGGTGCTTGTTAGCCATTCTTCAGAGCTGCCTGTGTTAGGGGGCATCCCTTGCTGGGCTGTGTAGACATCTGTTTATCACCCTGTGACATGACTCCATATTAGTCTTTCCTTAGCGTGAGAACTTGTACAGTTTTGCTGTTGTCCTAAAAAACTACCCAGCCCTTTCAAAATGCATCGAGAAATTTGACCTGCTGAAAGGGTATTTCTGAGGCTGCACAAGTTGTGTGAAATGGCTCTTAATATGCTCATCATTAATGTCAGCTCATGATTCCTTATTTTCTTACTGCTGGCAGTTTTACAAGCCTTTTAATAACTTCAGCAGTTTAAATGAAGTCCCCTCTCATCCTTTCCCTTCTGGGTGGCGTAAAACTACTGAATATCTCTCATTATAGCTGTTTTCTAACCATCTTGCTTGCTTTTGGCTTTCTGAGTCTTATCTCTGTCTTCCTTAAATTCATGACAGCTAAACATTAGGTCCTAAATAAGCACAAATGACTTCTCAGAATTCACAGAATCAGAGATTTTATGGCAAGGCAGGATCACCAGAGTATGTGCCCCTTCCTCTTGTTTATGACAAATTTCTGTATTTCACCCAATAAACCAAGTATCAGTAGGCTGACTTTGATGAGACCTACCAGCCATGAGGCTTGCTATGGAAATACAAAGATGAGATTAATTCATCACTTCTCCTGACAGTCCATTGTAATGATTAATCTCACCCAAAGAAACATGCCTGCATTTTCATTTTCTTGAACATGAGTCTCTTTTGCTCCAAACCACTTGTTCTTGCTATTGCAAGATTAAAATGCCTGTTAGCTCCCATTACTTACAAATGCTTATGAACTCACCTCTCAGGCTTCTCTTTGGTCATGCAAACCCACTGCTTAAATCCTCCAAGCTAAAGCATTTTTTCCAGCCCTTTTTCTCCAGTATTTCCAGCTTCCCCTTCAAAATATGCATACCAGAATGGCTCCTGAACAGCAATGCCACAGTACACCAGTGGCTTGACTATTTATACTTACTACACCAAAAAATGTTATTCACTCTACAGACACCTTTGGCAACCAGAACCAACACTTTCAAGGCAGCATTATGGGACACTCCTACAGCTCAAAAGCTCTATAGCAGCTAAAAGAAGTAGTAGGTAGTTCTATCCTATTGACACAAACCTAGAACACTTCCTAAGGTGCCTCTTCTTATGTTGCTTTTGGGTTACAGTCAGCAACAGATCCCACAAATTGAATGCACACAGACATATGTATTTTAGATGCTACCAATCAACTGAAAAATCCCCTGGAGGGGGTTTGAACCAGAAGGCTAGTAATTATCCCTGCCCAACAGTAATCCCCACAGCAACCTGCTATTAATCCTCTCTCATCTGAAACATCCACTTAAAACACAATTTTCAACTGCTTACTCAATTTCATGGTCTCTGAACTTCACCCTTGTTTTATGACTACTGGTTCTCCTTTATGGTTTTCCAGGGTTTCTGTCAAAAGCTATCTGGAAATGCAGCACATCTGCAGCAGCCAGGCTGTTTTTCTCAGAGGCTGTTCCCAGTCTGCCTGGCTGGAGTGGTGTCCTTGGGCCAAGTTTACCTAGGAAAAGGGGAAATCTCATCTGGCTCTGTAGGCTTTCTCTGATGAGGAACTTGATTTCAATCTGTTTGACTCCGTAGTAACACCCCTGAGCTCAATTTGTCCCCCAGCCTGTGTTGCTGAAGCAGAACTACTCTAAATCCTGAAAAAACCACAACCCTCTCAAATTAATACTTATTTGCAGCACGTTCAGTCTACCAGATTTCTTAACTCTGAGAAAACAGGCAGTACAGGACTTTAGCAGAGTGGCATTGAACAAGAATTGCTATCATTAATTTTCAATGCCTATCTGGCAGCTTCCGTACACATTGTACTCTGTCCCTTGGGAGGTCCCAAAACCAGAAAAAACAAGGCTGCAGTGCTGCAACCTGGAATACTAGCTGCCCAGAGAAGTCGTGAAGTCTCTATCCTTAAGAGATATTGAAAACCAGAAAGCACACTGCCCTGAGCAACTTGCACTAGCTGAGCCTGTTTGAGAAGGTAGGTTGGACGAGACAACCTCCAGAGGTGCCTTCCAACCTCAACTAAACTGTAATTCTGTGAACGGAAAAGGTAAAGCAGTTTTCAGTCCTTGATTTGAATTAATTTACATTTTCCAATTCATTAGTGGATCCATTTAGAAATTTATTGTGTATAACTCATTTTACAGCATCTATGAACTTGCTTTGCTTAGTCTGTACACACTGACCCTTTAAACTAGACCCCAGATGCACCTGAAAGACTACAGATTCTGGGCCCAAAACACTTTTAGTCCATCTCCTTTCCCCACTGCATGATGAGCTAGCCACAAGCCATTCCTAAAGCCATTGCTTATGTCGCTCATCAGCCCTCAAGAATGTGGACGTTATCTTGATATCAAACCTAGCTGATTTTTTGTGCTTAATGAAGTTCCAATGCCTCCTTCCTGTAGATGCTCTTGACAGAAAGGTAACATTGAGCTGGGAGCTGCTTTCTTTCCTCTAAATAGCAGAGGAAGCAACTTGTTTCCAACAGCATTTCCCTCAACTGTGCCCAAGTGCCCTTTGCGTTTAATATTGGGCAAGATGAAATTTCCAGTTCATACAAACCTGCAAGATCTGGCAAATTACTTAATTTCTATGTGTGAAATTAGAGAATACATGATATTATTTTAAGGTCTACTTTCTGTACAAATGATGTGCTGGCTGCTGTCAGAGTGCTTGTTTTCAACTTTCAATGAACTTTAAGACCTGTGGGCCATACACAGACACCTTCTCTAAATACTTCACATCATTAATATAACTGCTCCTCTTCACTGAGCTGTCAAGTGGCTGCTCGGGACAGCAGATGGGCTGAATCACACACCAGTAATCCCCTGAATTCCAATGCCATGACACTGCCAGGACAGCAAGGCTGGGTACCTGAATCAAGCCCCTTATTCGTGGTCACTCACAAGCACATGGCTCATGTTTCTAGCCTTCTGTTCCTTGCTCCCCCTGCCCTCCTCACTTGCTCAGTAATGCATCTGCACACGTCCATCCAGTTCTTAGATTTCTCTGCAGACTTAGATAATTCTTAATTGCTTTCTAAGGAGCACATGAGCCTAAAAGTGATAGGCAGGAAATGGTACAGGAAGAAATAGGACACAAAAATGTTCCCATTATGTAACCTGCTGATGTTCTGCAATTCCAGGGTCCAGAAGGGCTCCAGGTCCTGTCCCTGCAGCAGGATCAAGCCCTCTTTAGTTGTGATGAGCAGGTTGCTGCAGTTTGTGTCAGGTGTCTTCATCATCTGCAGGAAGTCAACACCACCACTGGGATAAATGGAAAGCAGAGAGGAGATTATGAGGCTTGTACCTGCACATCTCAGCACTAGCTGCCTGTCCACATGACAATTCATTCTACCTATGATTTGAACTGCCGCTGGAGAAGCCCATCATTTATCCAGTGGAGCTTAGCTTCCTTTGGGGGTTTCTCTGTTAAGTGGGCTAAATTCAGGTGTGGAGTCTTCTAAACATCTTGAGTTACTATAGAAGCATGGGGTCTGGAGGCTTGCACTGTTTAAGTCCTTTTATTCCTAACCAGGCTGAACTTGACCCCAATTTGGCAGTAAATAAGAAGGAGCAGACAAATCCAGGCCTACAACACTGTACACAGACTGAGCTTCCCAAAAGGACTCCACTAGTTGGGAACACTTATTTTTTTTCCTCCAGGTATGCATTGGGGATGGAAGAAAGAAACAAAGAGTGGAAGCACCAAAGGACTCCCTTTTATCATACTCCGCATTTCTTTTGCTAGGACAACCACAGGAAAGGGAGTAAACAAGGGGTTCCCCAGAGTACTGTCATCAACTAAACAATGGAAAGAACAACAGTAGGAGGAATCATCTCTAGGAGCACTAAGAGGTGTCTACTTTCCACTTCCTCTCCCAGCAGAAGCAGGATGATAAGTCTGTCTCTTACCTGTAAATGTCAATGAGTTCTGACAGGTTGACAGATCTGCGCTTTTCCCACTCTGGCTCCTCCTGCTGCAGCATTGCAGGAAAGCTGTCCCGGTTTCTGGCTTGGGTAAAGATATCCCTTAGGGCAACTGCTTGAACATTACCTGCCAGGAAGAGTAAAGATGAAGAATCCTGCCTGAAAAAGTTAACATCCTAATAGCACAGAGTTGTCCCTGGGACCACTGCAGTTCTGACAGAAGGCAAAGAAATGCCCACAGCTGGAAATTCCCTGGCATGACATGACTTTGAGAAACTCCAAGGTATTCCAGGCTAGCAGGTATTGGTGCTCCTACACTTTTCCACACCATGGAAACTTATGGATTACCATGTAAACACACCATGCCCTCTACTCCTAGCTTTTACAGGAGAAGGCATAGTAGAGATATTTCAGGGCCATTTTAAGTAAAATGAATGTCTTCTCAGTAAGGTGAAGTGCTGCAAATGCAAGGTGCATCTTACCAAAACCAAACAGGATGTAGATGGCTCCTCGGCTGGTGATGTGGACTTGGGGGCCAATCACTTTCCCTTCTCCATTGGTTCTGTACTTCACAGGCCCACCCAACGCAGTCCCAGTCTTTCCTGACACCAAGATGAAAAACACATCAGGCTGCAAAGAGAGAGATATTGGGATTTTTAGCAGTGCTTTCACAGACGTGTGCTCTCAGAATCTTCTCTGGTCCCCACAGCATGAAGCTCCATTGCTCTTTCCCCCCACAGCAACGTCTAGCTAGTGGTCTCTTTCTCTTTGCTCAGTTTGGCTTCCTGGAAGTCCTACATTCATGCTTTTCTCTTGACTGCAAAACAAAACCCCAAAAACCTTAAGTTCCCTACAAACCTTAATGCTAGAATTGAGGGAAGGGATAAGCATAGAGGAAATCTGCATCTGAATTAATCCCACAAGTATTTATTTATTTTGGATAAGCTGAATGCTCCTTTCTCCAGTGATTTATCTCAACATGGTTCCCTAC